TCCGCTCATCCGGGCTAAATTTGTGATGGAACAGTCCTTCTGTGATGTCGAGCTCTTTATTGCTCTCAAAACGTTAACATTCTTCTTTATCGACTGATTTCGTTGTCTGTCCAAAATGTATTGTCCCACAGTGAGTGAGTGAGTGAGTGAGTGAGTTAGATAAAATTTAACATCGCATCGGCAAGTATTTTCGTACTTTCAATATTATTGCCACAGCGTCTAATTAAGGACAGCCATTTCTAAAGATCAAAAACTATGTAGCTATGTATGTGAAACTTAATTGTAATTATTTATGTGACGTTAATGTGCATTTTTAATCCTTATCACTACTGCATATATGCTCACATCTACATTGTCAAGCAGTCTGGTATTCCGACTGTCTGTGTAGGGACGACCGCGAGCAGGATAATGCCGCTCGTAGGAAACGCCCTGGGGTTGAGGTGGAACTCCGCTCACCTCATACTTGTATACTGGTTCTTATCTTACCCCTCACATGAATGTCGCTTTCTGATTGGCTGAGCGCTCTTTTATTATTTTCAGTGTTCCCCGCTTACAAGCGAGTAACATTTCAATGTACCAAGCTGTCAATGGCAACTCATTTGGTACTTCGTGGTAGTAATTCTTTATCTCGAATTACATTGAACCACGTATATGATGTACGGAAATTACCGAATGCAAATCAATGGAAGGGAGATAACTCTCAATCTGTTTTTCTTGTCAGCAAAATCTAGCGATGGCTACAAAAAGATTTGTACCCGTGCTTCAAACAATTCAAAATTAACATTAAGGTGTTCGGTAAGATAAATATGTTGTTCACTGGTCCCTCGGGGCCCATGGGTTGATGTACCCTCGATGTTTGTTTATGTTTGTTTACATCAACCCATGCCCCCCTCGTGACCAGTGAACAACTTATAATGTCATGTCTTGTGTAAGTAACTAGAAATATTTAGACTCAACCTATCCTCCGTCTTTGTCAAAGTATTGCGCGTATAACCCTGAGTTAGTTCCCCAGTCGACACATATACCACGTGTTGACACTATTGTAACACGTACAGTCATTTTAACATGGTTGACACTATTGTAACACGTACAGTCATTTTAACATGGTTGACCCTATTGTAACACGTACAGTCATTTTAACATGGTTGACCCTATTGTAACACGTACAGTCATTTTAACATGGTTGACACTATTGCAACACGTACAGTCATTTTAACATAACATGGTTTGAGTTATTTTAACATGGTTGACACTATTGTAACACGTACAGTCATTTTAACATGGTTGACACTATTGTAACACGTACAGTCATTTTAACATGGTTGACACTATTGCAACACGTACAGTCATTTTAACATGGTTGACACTATTGTAACACGTACAGTCATTTTAACATGGTTGACACTCATTGCAACACGTACAGTCATTTTAACATGGTTGACACTATTAACATGGTTGACCCCTATTGTAACACGTACAGTTATTTTAACATGGTTGACACTATTGCAACACGTACAGTCATTTTAACATGGTTGACACTATTGCAACACGTACAGTCATTTTAACATGGTTGACTATTGTAACACGTACAGTCATTTTAACATGGTTGGACATTCTTATTGTAACACGTACAGTCATTTTAACATGGTTGACCCTATTGTAACACGTACAGTCATTTTAACATGGTTGACCCTATTGTAACACGTACAGTCATTTTAACATGGTTGACCCTATTGTAACACGTACAGTCATTTTAACATGGTTGACCCTATTGTAACACGTACAGTCATTTTAACATGGTTGACACTATTGTAACACGTACAGTCATTTTAACATGGTTTGACCCTATTGTAACACGTACAGTTATTTTAACATGGTTGACACTATTAGCCAACACGTACAGTCATTTTAACATGGTTGACACTATTGTAACACGTACAGTCATTTTAACATGGTTGACCCTATTGTAACACGTACAGTCATTTTAACATGGTTGACACTATTGTAACACGTACAGTCATTTTAACATGGTTGACACTATTGTAACACGTACAGTCATTTTAACATGGTTGACACTATTGTAACACGTACAGTCATTTTAACATGGTTGACACTATTGTAACACGTACAGTCATTTTAACATGGTTGACATTATTGCAACACGTAGTTGACACTATTGCAACACGTACAGTCATTTTAAACATGGTTGACACTATTGTAACACATTACAGTCATTTTAACATAGTTGACACTATTGTAACACGTACAGTCATTTTAACATGGTTGACACTATTGTAACACGTACAGTCATTTTAACATGGTTGACACTATTGTAACACGTACAGTCATTTTAACATGGTTGACACTATTGCAACACGTACAGTCATTTTAACATGGTTGACACTATTGTAACACGTACAGTCATTTTAACATGGTTGACACTATTGTAACACGTACAGTCATTTTAACATGGTTGACACTATTGTAACACGTACAGTCATTTTAACATGGTTGACACTATTGCAACACGTACAGTCATTTTAACATGGTTGACACTATTGTAACACGTACAGTCATTTTAACATGGTTGAGAAATCCCACCGTTCTATATTTGTTAACTTCAGCAGCGATGCGGTCAAAACGTAAGCTTTTTAATCAGAGGTTGACTTTGTGACTTGATACGTTTACTGACCAAATAGAAACGAGTCAAACTGAATTTAGGTTATTGGCCGGAAAAACATCGACTGCTAGGAAAACCCATCGCCTCTCATAATAGGTGACATGTATGACCTCAACCGTCACGTGCCAAAAAGATTCACCTTCAAACAACTTTTCTTTTTAATGCATTTTTAACACGAGACCTTTCAATATTATTGAGCCACTTTCCCATGACACACTTGCACTTAAGTTAAGTACGTTTGTTAAAGTGTTAATTTCATGTTCGTGTTATCATAGCTGTTAATACCTTGCGAAACTTGAACTGATGACATTTGAGATATAGCCTATAATATAATTCCATAACATATCGCATTTGAAAATCAATATTTTCTGATAAACAACTCCCGATTGTCGTGACTAAGTTGAACCGTTTCCTCGTTGCTTTTACTATTGTCTCCGCCATGCCTGTGGCTTTGACTCCGAGGTCCATCCATGGTACGACCCTGAACATGTCCAGGGCGTCATGGAAAATGATGCTTTCAAACTTCTGTGGAACAGGCGCATATACAGCCTCAGAAGAATTCCAGCCAACAAACCTGATCTTGTCGTTTTTGATAAAGCCAATAAACTTATTTACTAGTATATCATTGAATTTTCTGTCTCTTTTGACAGCAATGTGATTGGCAAGATTCAGGAAAAGCATGATAAATATGCGGACCTCGCCTTTGAAATGTCTCGCTTGCATCCCAAGTACACTGTCGTCAGGCTCCCCATTGTTCTCAGTACCCGTTTGGTACCTCCTGATCTCTTGGCGCAGATCAGGAGAGTCTGGGAGCACAGCCCTTCTGACACTCTGGGTAATGCAGAAGGCTGCAGTGTTGGGGAGTCTACATATTCTCCGGAAAGTTCTTGGTGGGTTCGACTAGGCAGCGTTTCCTGGGAGAAGTCCCATTCGCTGTCTGGGCTGCGTGTAGAGGGGGCGAGGGCCCTGAGCTGATGATGAGCCTTACCAGCCTGACTGTTCCAGGATCATCCGAACCCTTTTTGCTGCTTTTTCATCTTTAATCAGTAAAAGAAATTCCTACTAAAGATCCCCAAAAGAAAAAAATAGAAGCAAGCATTACACATTGCATATCAATATTCTATTGTGTGTGAGTATGATCCGCTATTTTTTTAAAAATGCATTATTAACACAACTCCTTTCAATATTATTGAGCCACTTTCCCATGACGCACTTCTACTTAAGTTAAGTAGGTTTGTTAAAGTGTTAATTTCATGTTCATGTTATCATATCTGTTTAGACCTTGCGAAACTTGAACCGATTACAATTGAGATATAGCCTATCATATAATTCCATAACATATCGCATTTGAAAATCAATATTTTCTGATAAACAACTCCCGATTGTCGTGACTAAGTTAAACCGTCAGACACGCGTGTTTGTCTTTCCCCTGGTCTGGGAGACCATAATGTATTGAACCGTCAGACACGCGTGTTTGTCTTTCCCCTGGTCTGGGAGACCATAATGTATTGACCCGTCAGACACGCGTGTTTGTCTTTCCCCTGGTCTGGGAGACCATAATGTATTGAACCGTCAGACACGCGTGTTTGTCTTTCCCCTGGTCTGGGAGACCATAATGTATTGAACCGTCAGACACGCGTGTTTTGTCTTTCCCTGGTCTGGGAGACCATAATGTATTGAACCGTCAGACACGCGTGTTTGTCTTTCCCCTGGTCTGGGAGACCATAATGTATTGAACCGTCAGACACGCGTGTTTGTCTTTCCCCTGGTCTGGGAGACCATAATGTATTGAACCGTCAGACACGCGTGTTTGTCTTTCCCCTGGTCTGGGAGACCATAATGTATGGTCTTTGTGCATAAGGTGAAATAAATGTGAAAAGTTTATCTCTCCAATTTTTTTTTAGTATGGCTATGTAATTGTTATATTATTGTTATATTATATTATATACTCTCTTAAGAAATTATAGGAGTGAGTGAGTTTAGTTTTATGCCGCTATTAGCAATATTCCAGAAATACCCCAATACAGCAATGTACCCATGTGGGAAATCGAACCCGTGTCTTGTCCAACAAACGCTTTAACCACTAGGCTACCCCACCGCCCTTACTATGTTTATAACGAATGCTCTATGACGAACTGACGGATATGGCGAACTTGGTGGGGTTTATGCAAGGCCACTTGCAGTATGCCTTTGCTGAGCTACGGTTATAACTAGAATTTATTGGTCCTTTTCATTATAACAGTACTTTACTTATTATTCCACTAACACCATGGATTAGTGTGTGGTAATGTAGCCGTCATCTTTTACACAAACACAGATGCACATGGCAACACCCCTTTATTCAGGATTGAGGTGCTTCGAGCAAAAATCTGGATAAATACAAAAAAATAATGAAACCTGATTATGAATTGACACTGAAATTTGCATATGAAGACGTCCTAAACTTTAACTGCCAGGAAGTAGAATGGCTTCACCGGAATTAAGCACTAGGCCAGCATTGGTTACAAGGCTCTGGGAAGAGTATAATGAAAAAATCACATTGCTGATTATTCAGACACAACCCCAGACTCTACGGATCAAACATTAGATGGATCATTAGAGTTCAAAGAGGGAAAAGACGGAGAGGGTTAAGACCGAGAGGGACAAGACGGAGGGGTTAAGACCGAGAGAGACACGACGGAGGGGTTAAAACCGAGAGGGACAAGAAGGAGAAGGTTAAGACCGAGAGGGACAAGACGGAGAGGGTTAAGACCCAGAGTGACAAAACGGAGAGGGTTAAGACAGAGAGGGTTAGACGGAGAGGGTTAACACTAAGAAGGGTAATACTGAGAGGGATAAGACTGAGAGGGTTAAGACAGAGAGGGTTAGACGGAGAGGGTTAACACTAAGAGGGGTAATACTGAGAGGGATAAGACTGAGAGGGTTAAGACAGAGAGGGTTAGACGGAGAGGGTTAAGACGGAGAGGGTTAGACGGAGAGGGATAAGACGGAGAGGGATAAGACAGAGAGGGATAAGACAGAGAGGGTTAGACGGAGAGGGTTAACACTAAGAGGGTAATACTGAGAGGGATAAGACTGAGAGGGTTAAGACCGAGAGGGTTAGACGGAGAGGGTTAACACTAAGAGGGGTAATACTGAGAGGGATAAGACTGAGAGGGATAAGACAGAGAGGGTTAGACGGAGAGGGTTAACACTAAGAGGGGTAATACTGAGAGGGATAAGACTGAGAGGGATAAGACAGAGAGTGTTAAGACGGAGGGGGTTAAGACGGAGAGGGTTAAGACAGAGAGGGATAAGACAGAGAGGGATAAGACAGAGAGTGTTAAGACGGAGAGGGTTAACACTAAGAGGGGTAATACTGAGAGGGATAAGACTGAGAGGGATAAGACAGAGAGTGTTAAGACGGAGGGGGTTAAGACGGAGAGGGTTAAGACAGAGAGGGTTAAGACATAGAGTGTTAAGACAGAGAGTGTTAAGACGGAGAGTGTTAAGACTGAGAGTGTTAAGACTGAGAGGGTTAAGACAGAGAGTGTTAAGACAGAGAGGGTTAAGACGGAGAGGGTTAAGACAGAGAGGGTTAAGACGGTTACGGTTGAGACAGAGGGGGATAAGACGGAGAGTGTTAAGACTGAGAGGGTTAAGAGAGAGAGTGTTAAGACAGAGAGGGTTAAGACAGAGAGGGTTAAGACAGAGAGGGTTAAGACAGAGAGTGTTAAGACAGAGAGTGTTAAGACGGAGTGTTAAGACAGAGAGGGTTAAGACAGAGAGGGTTAAGACAGAGAGTGTTAAGACAGAGAGTGTTAAGACGGAGAGGGTTAAGACGGAGAGGGTTAAACAGAGGGGGTTAAAACAGACAGAGTTTAGACAGAGAGTGTCAAGACAGAGAGTTTTCAGACAGAGAGTGTTAAGACGGAGAGGGTTAAGACGGAGAGAGTTAAGACTGAGAGGGATAAAACGGAGAGTGTTAAGACGAGAGGGTTAAGACAGAGAGGGTTAAGAGAGAGGGTTAAGACAGAGAGGGTTAAGACCGAGGACAAGACTGGTTAAGCTCCAGCGATGAAGATTGTCCCAAGGTTAGACACGACTATGCTTTGCTCATTGACGTGAATGCCTGTGTATGGGAGTTTTCGTTCACGATCTGCCATTGTCCAATCCAGGGCCCGGTGATCCTTGTATCAAACTCCTCTGTCGTTTTCACCTGGAAAAAGATACGCGTGTGCTCGTTGAACTGGGCTCTTATCACATTATAACACAGTTTAATTAAATATGGAAGAGACGTTTGTTTACCTTAGGTGAAGTTTTGACAATATACTCGAGGAATTAGTCGTCACGATATGACACTGTTGATATTATTGCAGCACATTCCGATTAAGACATTAATTAGATGGTATGGACCATCCATCTCCTGTGAACGTATGGTTACCTGGAAAAGGATACACATGTGCTCGTTGAACCGGGCTCTTATCATATAAGGAAAAAGGATAATCAGAAAAAAATCCATTTGGTAAGAGATGTCTGTTTAGCTTATGCGGAGTTTTATGACAATTTAATCGATGCATCACCCGTCACCTGACACTGTTCATATTATTGCTGCACATTCCGATTTTGACATTAAACAGATGGTACTGTTATAACGCCCATTTCGTGTGCACGTGTAGTAATATCATGAGACAGCACCAATATAGTATTTAACATCATTGGGGAGAGGGGCTGCCTCCGTGGCCTGGTGAACTTAGCGTCTTGAATAGGTCACTCAAGACCAATATACTGACTCTAACCGTCCAGTCGTTGTTTGATACATTCAAAACAGTGCGCCAGTCAGAACAACAAGAAGTATTATTTGTAATTGCGCCTTTTAAGATAAAGGGTGAGGGAACGAAGTGGCCGCATTTTGGCCCTCTGGTCAGACGCTAAATCATCCATGGAGAAAGTCAATAGTTGTCTGTTTCTTATGACAGTGGGAAGGTGCTATGGTTACGTCCGGTCAATGCTTTGGATTCACAGCATCACCCTGACGCAAGGCCGTGATTCTATGTAGCCAGTCAGTATGTTTCATAGCTTGATAGTTTAAAGCTGACATAACAGCAGACGTGAACTGTTCCTAAAGATACCCTCCGATTGGTAAACAACTCAAATGCGGTTAGGACCTGTTTCTTTCATAAATGATAGATTTAACTTAAGTACTGTGACGGAATCTTCTGTTCCTGAACCTCTTTTCGTAGCATATATAGCTCTCAACCTTTGAAGGATAATCAGAGTAGCCCGATGTATTTGACGATACAATTTTCAGGATGTAACAATACAACTGACATTTGAATAATCAGTTTGTTGTAAAGGGAAAACATAAAAGTCCCGAGCAAAAACAAATGATATGCCATCCCTTACAAGAATTGCAGATTCGATATCATCTGCCAACCCCTTGAAGTCACTCGTGAAGGTTAGAATCAGAATTGGTCTTCAGTAACCCATGCTTGTCGTAAGAGGCGACTAACGGGATCGGGTGGTCAGACTCGCTGAGTTGGTTGACACATGTCATCACATCATTGTTGCGTAGATCGATGTTCATACTGTTGCCCACTGGATTGCCTGGCCCAGACTCGATTATTTACAGACCGCCGCCAAATAGCTGGAATGTTGTTTAGTGTGGTGTTAAACAAGAAACAAACCTCTTTGAAGTACTTCTTCTGCCAGACTTCTTTCCGGTCAACAGACAGAAATTTGTCCCAGTCAGGCTTTACGTTGGGGTTGGACGATGACCGAAACACGACGCCATCTTGGATGTTGTAGAATCCCATGTTATGGAATGGAGACTGCCACCGAAGATCGATACTCCATCTGATGTCGTTTGACAAGTTGACGCCGCTGAAACGGAAATATCACATACGCAAATACTTATCTGTACCTCCAGAATGCGTGACTAGTCGACTATCTGAATTGTTTTGGGTTTTTTTTTGTTTTTTGTTTGGGTTTTGCTAAACGCCTTAGTCGTCTCTTAAGAAAAGCATGGGTTGCTAAATATCACTTCTCACTCATTCCTTCACGGCTACAGAAGATTATACATATATATACAATCTTGAATGCAGTTTGGAGGTCTCAGAATCAAAACTTTATTAGACATCTATCTTTTGTTGTGAGCTCTTTGTGACGTGGGTATGTGTGACAAGGGCATGTGTGACGAGGGTACTTGTGACGAGGCTTTGCGTGACATGTTTCAACATTCCGAATATACTGCCACCCTGCTTACCGTATGAACAAACGGCTTCAGAAGACGAGAAAACTGTTCACATGTTCTTTAAACAAATACATATTTTACTGTCACCTTCTATGTGGAGTAAGGTTGTGAAAGAGAATAAATCCGCCATAGGGCACTGGTTCCACAAAAACATCTTTCTTGATGTCAACGCCTGAAGAGAAAACAACAAACAAACACATATTCACTTCGGAAATACATATGTTGTTAGGATCACAAAGGTTTTGGTTTTCAAAGATGGTATACTTCTATTCCAAGGATGGTATACTTCTATTCCAAGGATGGTATAATTCTATTCCAAGGTTGGTATACTTCTATTCCAAGGATGGTATAATTTCCAAGGATGGTTATTAATCTATTCCAAGGATGGTATTAATCTATTCCAAGAATGGTATAATTATATTCCACGGTTGGTATAATTTTATACCACCGACAACTGTCACTTCGACCTCAACGACGTCTTAATGAACTAACTTCGCAGTGATGATCTGGTGGTGTTAAACAATATTCACTCACTTACAATGGAACGTTGTGACGTCATAAAGCAATGGGTGATGTCATTTGTTTACATGGATGGAATAAGACAGAGACGAACACGAAATCCAAAGAAAGAACAATATAACTACCCAATTCCTTGACCATGGTCTCTTCTTCGAGCGTAATGTACCACGTGTTGGCATGGCAACAGGTATGACGAGCCACCCGTCCATCCACGTGACCAAATTTCACCATCTGAAAGTGCATTATGTCAGTCTTCTACTGTTTGTACCTTGTTTCGTAAGTCAGTTGAAAGTTCAACAAAATATGAGGCCATTCTATTTAACATGAAATGTTAATTGAAAATGTCTCATGTAGAGAAAAGAAGGTTAGGAGCTTGACAGTATTAGGGAGGCGGTGACTTGGACTGTGTCTACAATTTGTTCCAGAATGAAACAAAAACACAATTTGTCTTCAGGTTAAACAAGCATGAAAACAGAAATATTGATATGAACATTGTCGGATATCTATAAATGTTTGATATACAATTCGCCAATATACGCGTTTCCTATTGGACTAGATGCCAATAACCGGACTGCTACGCTAACGTTTATATGTGTTCATCACATGTTAACCTTCTTCAGGAATGCTACACTAACGTTATATGTGTTGATCAAATGTTAACCTTCTTCAGGAATGCTACACTGACGTTATATGAGTTGATCACATGTTAACCTTCTTCAGGAATGCTACACTAACGTTCATATGTATCGGACATATGTTAACCTTCTTCGGGAATGCTACACTAACGTTTATATGTGTCGGGTACAAGTTAACCTTCTTCAGGACTGCTACACTAACGTTTATATGTATCGGGCACAAGTAAACCTTCTTCAGGACTGCTACACTAACGTTTATATGTGTCGGGCTCATGTTAACCTTCTTCAGGAATGCTACACTAACGTTTATATGTATCGGCCACATGTTAACCTTCTTCAGGATTCTTAAACCTTGTTTATATGTGTCGGGCTCATGTTAACCTTCTTTAGGACTGCTACAATAACGTTTATATGTGTTGATCACATGTAAACCTTCTTCAGGACTGCTACACTAACGTTTATATGTGTCGGGCACATGCTAACCTTCTTCAGGACTGCTACAATAACGTTTATATGTGTCGGGCACATGTTAACCTTCTTCAGGATTGCTACAATAACGTTTATATGTGTCGGGCTCATGTTAACCTTCTTCAGGATTGTTAAACCTTGTTTATATGTGTCGGGCTCATGTTAACCTTCTTCAGGACTGCTACACTAACGTTTATATGTGTCGGGCACATGTTAACCTTCTTCAGGAATGCTACACTAACGTTTATATGTGTCGGGCACATGCTAACCTTCTTCAGGACTGCTACACTAACGTTTATATATGTCGGCTCATGTTAACCTTCTTCAGGACTGCTACACTAACGTTTATATGTGTCGGGCACATGTTAACCTTCTTCAGGAATGCTACACTAACGTTTATATATGTCGGCTCATGTTAACCTTCTTCAGGACTGCTACACTAACGTTTATATGTGTCGGGCACATGTTAACCTTCTTCAGGATTGTTAAACATTGTTCATATGTGTCGTGCTCATGTTAACCTTCTTCAGGACTGCTACACTAACGTTCATATGTCTCGGACATATGTTAACCTTCTTCAGGAATGCTACGCTAACGTTTATATGTGTCGGGTACAAGTTAACCTTCTTCAGGACTGCTACACTAACGTTTTATATATGTGTCGGGCTCATAACGTTAACCTTAACCTCCTTCAGGACTGCTACACTAACGTTTATATATCGTATCAACTTAACCTTCTTCAGGATTGTTAAACCTTGTTCATATTACAGGACTTGCTACACTAACGTTCATATGTCTGTGAATGCTCGCGTTTATATGTGTCGGTTAACCTTCTTCAGGAATGCTACACTAACGTTTATATGTGTCGGCTCATGTTAACCTTCTTCAGGAACCTTCTTGCTACACTAACGTTTATATGTGTCGGGCTCATGTTAACCTTCTTCAGGACTGCTACACTAACGTTTATATGTGTCGGGCTCATGTTAACCTTCTTCAGGACTGCTACACTAACGGTATATGTGTCGGGCACATGTTAACCTTCTTCAGGACTGCTACACTAACGTTTATATGTGTCGGGCTCATGTTAACCTTCTTCAGGAATGCTACACTAACGTTTATATGTGTCGGGCTCATGTTAACCTTCTTCAGGAATGCTACACTAACGTTTATATGTGTCGGGCACATGTTAACCTTCTTCAGGACTGCTACACTAACGGTATATGTGTCGGGTACATGTTAACCTTCTTCAGGACTGCTACAATAACGTTTATATGTGTTGATCACATGTTAACGTTCTCCAGGATTGCTACACTAACGTTTATATGTGTCGGGCACATGTTCACGTTCTTACAGGTTTTAGTGGGTTTTTTCCAGAAGTAACAAAGACACAGATGAAATACATTCACAATATTGGGGCACCCCCGAGAGTTCTCTTTACGAATAAATAAAGAATCGTCGTTTATGACCATTTAAGACAATCCAGTGATTGATATTAAGAACCCTGAACCACGGCGTCGGGGTCGACATGTTATCAAGTACACCACCACCCGACCCGTGAAGTCGCTTCATACCAGCCTGCAAGGTGTGTGAGTGAGTGAGTTGGGTTTTACGCCGCTTTTAGTGCTTTTTGCCCGCAATATCACGGGCTGCCAGAAATTCGCTTCACACATTGTTCCAATTTGGGGAATCGAACCCGGGTCTTCCGCGTGACGATCGAACGGCTTTAACCACTAGGCTACCCCACCACCCTAGCCTGCAGGGAACCACTTCTAAGCTAGAAGCCTCACGTATCACCAGTTAGTCTGTTAAAGGCAGTGTCCGGATTCACGAGGTGTCACGGTATAGGCGCACAGAAAAGGCACATGAAGATTTTCTGTCACGATAGTTTGCTGCTTGGTTCAATGCAAGCTACATGTTCTATAGTATACCTGCATGCAGCCATTTTCAGGTGTAGCATCCAGGAATGGTATCCACGCTGTTGGAATGAGGTGGTCGTAGGACTCGTTGCTGAAGTAACCACTATCTGGAAACATCTCAATAGGTTTTATATGTGAATAACACACATAAGGGTTTTTGTGGGACTATCTAAGCAGCCTGGATTCGATAATAGCAAGAAATAAGAATAATTTTGCTTCCTTAAAGCATTTTCACATTCATTCATTCTGACATGTAGGACCCGTTTACATAGTGATGTAATTTATCTGCCAATTGACACGGATCAATATCGTTGGGAGTGTAGTAAATCAACTGTACCTTAAACCCGCACAAAGTCCTTTTAACCAATACAATGTAATTTAATCCACACAATGTCTTTTAATCCTTGAAAGGTCTTTTAAACCCACAAATGGACCTTTAAACCCACGGAATGACTTTAAACCTATACAGTGTCCTTTAAATCCAGACAAGGTCCTTGGAATCCAAACAAGGTCCTTTTAACCCATATTTGTTCTTTAAACCCACACACCGTCCTCTCCAAACTCACCCTGGTGCCACGGGATCGCTCCAATCTTGCTCTCTGGGGTTTTGGTCCTGAGGTTCCACGTGGGATGCCCAGCGATGTCCGGACCAATCAGTTGTTCAATCATGTTCAACATGCGCTCGTTGCTCCAAACGTTCATGAATGCCTTTGAGAATAGGGAATGAATGCATAGACAGGAATGTGTTCCGAGTGATCCCTTGCATAGCTCCCCGTGACTCATGTTCAGTGGCAATGGCATTCTCTTCCCACAGAGGTTATTTGTCATATCTTCCTACGAACCTCTGTTCTAATACGGCCATATTTCCCAGTTCTCGTAAAATCCCCTAGCGGCAAAAGATCGCAACACGAATTATCTCCCTTCTTTCTATCCAATCAGAACACGTGTTACATCGACTTAGATTCAACTTGACGAACACAAGCAAATGTGGGGCCACAAATATCCCCCCCATCTGCCGGGGACTTGTGTTGATGTTACACACAAGACGTTTAATGGCTAGCTTGTCCGTTGTCAACGAGGGCGATGGAGAAGCCACTGATCCGCCATAACATGACTGAGTTCTGTCTAGAAGAAACGTTTGCGCATCGCGCAGGGGAAGAGGTTTAGTTTTCTCGAAGCATACGGAAATTACCGAGGCCTTGCGAATGATCACTTTTGAAACAACGTCGCTGATTGCACAACTAAATCTGATTGCCTCCAATCACAAGTCTTGAACGCTCACACCATGAAAGGGCCGTATTAGAACAGAGGTTACGTAGGAAGATATGACAGGAGTAACCTCTGTGGGAAGAGAATGTGGCAATGGTGCTTAGCTAACAATGATCCATCCGGTTACTTTGAGACTGTAGCTAGTATTCTCATTATGTCTCTTTAACCAGGTAACAGTAATAATCCTCAATAGCCTCAATCGAACATAGCGTCACTTTACAATATGTGAGTGAGTGAGTGAGTTTAGTTTTACGCCGCTTTTAGCAATATTCCTGCAATATCACGGGGGAGTACACCAGAAATGGGTTTCACACATTGTACCCATTAGGGGAATCGAACCCGGGCCTTCGGCGTGACGAGCGAACGCTTTAACCCCCAGGCTACCCCACCCTTTACAATATCTTCCAGATGACGTTGAAGATGGGGAGTCGGGTGGACTATCCCTTTGAACGACTTTCTTAAAAGTTTTAGGATGCAGTATCAGGGGGATGTTGAGTTCGACAGCTACGACATTGGTTTGATGCTACGATGTACGGTGGCATAATAGGGTCATCTGTTTTTGGGTTTTTTTCTTGAAATTTCAAGATGTCGATCTAAAATTTCAAGTTAATTAGTTGAAATTTCAAGTTAATAAGTTAATAAAAATCTTGAAATTTCAAGTTTTTACGTTAGTGGTATGTTGAAATTTCAACATATTAACTTGACATTTCGACATAGTATCTTGAAATTTCAAGATTTTTTACGCGATCATTAAGTTGAAATTCGAAATAAAATTTCTTGAAATTTCAACTTATTAACTTGAAATTTCAAGATCGACATCTTGAAATTTCAACTTACAATCTTGAAATTTAAAGTTGCTACTTGAAATTTCAAGAAAACACAATAAAAAACAGATGGCCTATTATGCCACCGTAACGATGTCTGTGAATGCCTTAATATCTTTCCCGTCTGGTTTAAATGTTAGCGGGCTACATGTATACATGTTCATGTTACTGGCAAATGTTTTACAGAGTAGGTTTAATCCGGACATGTGATATTCCGGAAGATTTCTTTGAGAACTGCTCCGTTCGGAATAATATGACTTCACTACCGATGGTTCAAAATACCTTTGGTAGTTTCTGGTGTTTAAAGAGAAGGATATTGGAGCCGGGGAACTCTTTCTCCAGCATAGTGAGTCTCTGGAATACGCCATAGTCTTCATACAGATCTGGAACAGAAACAGACATTACAGTAACACTGCAGGGGTCTATTTAGTCCCGGTGTTTGGACATTTCTACAGTGACATTAATAAACAAATAGAAACACAAAGTGAATGGCATCATTATAAGTCGTAAATTTATGCATACAAAAATAGTGAATATTAAATAATGTGATGACCATTTTATTGATTTATAAATAGATAGTTATGGTTATGGAAATGGTTTTCAAGGCTGTATTTACAATCGCCAAAACACAGTTCTGGCAAAATGCAGTTCACAAACAATGCAAATAGGCCAACAGGTTAGCGCGGTCTGCAAGTGCAAAACGAACGCAAGGAATTTTAAAGCAAAGGTGAGGGAAAATTTGCATTTGCGCTCTTTTGTGAAGACAGAAAGCACAAACCGGAGATGGTTACTCTGTCATTTTGTCTAACACGATTCGGATATTTATGGTTTTATATATTGTTGGTCGCTAAATGTCTCTTGATTTTCATTTACGACTGCCGAAAAATGACGACGTTGTGAAAAATGGCGACCTCGTGAACAGGAAGTACAGCAACAACGCATATTTGTCGTGTGAAGACACACGATGGAACCTTCTGTTACTTTTCGAAAACTCAATTGTTCATGCGTTCTACCAAAGGAAATGCGTTCAGACATTGGTCATTTTGTACACGCACGTTCTGGGCTCCTGCAGATATAAATTTAAATGTTATAAGTTCCACGGGGCCACTGTGAGATATTAAGATAGGTTGGTTTGTTGTTTTACGCCGCACCCAGCAATATTCCAGCTATATGGCGGCGGTCTGTAAAATATCGAGTCTGGAACAGACAATCCAATGATCAACAGCATGAGCATCGATCTACGCAATTGGGATACGATGACATGTGTCAACCAAGTGAGCAAACCTGATCACCCGATCCCGTTAGACGCCTCATACGACAAGCATGGGTTGCTGAAGACCAATTCTAACCCGGATCTTCAAGGGTTGAGATAATAAGCCACACTAATTAATGGTCGCGGACACGGTCTCAGGAAAATACATGAAAATATATTAAAATATACAACGGTTGCCCTGTTCGCATTTCTTGGATACATGCTCGTGTACATGCATAAGACCGCCTCCGTGCTGTAGTGGTTAGAACGTCTGCCTGGAGAGCGGAAGGTCGCGGGTTCGATCCCGGCCACGTCATACCAAACGACGTTAAAATATGGTACTTGTTGGTCCCTGCCTCGCGCTCGGAATTATTGGGTTAAAAAAAGGAGTCAGTATAATGTGTCTGAGTGGGGTGTTCCTGCTTAACTGCGGCATGGTATCTCAGTGAGCTAGCACTATAAAACCAGCTTCAGTCTGGGCTAGTACAGGCAGCCACACATACACACGCATGCACGTCGTCATATGAGCGAAATATTCTCAAGTACGACGTTAAACCCAATTTCACCACACCTCATGTATATGCATAAATTCTGTTCTGTCTATTTCAAACAATGTCATGATAAAGACGTGTTCAAGGGTAACTTACAGCCCAAAATCCGAAGTGGCTACAACAACTGATTTAAGGTATTGTTAAAGACAAGGTCATTGTAACAGCTGGGAATGTTTCATTACAACATTTGTATTTAGAGACGACAATATGTCAGCGGAGATAAGACGGATGGGAGAGCTGTGTAGACTGCCATCTGTTCCACTGAAAGGCGATGCCAACACTGATTTTCAGTTGTCCATGTACATTATTTTTACTGCTCCTTTGCCCATTACATCAGCTGGAATCAGTTTCTGAGGATAGTCAAGCTTGGCATTGTTTGCACTGACGTTTCATATTTAAATTGACATTAAACGTTGACAGTTTTTTTGTTTAACGTCGCACTCACCAATATACACGCTACAGGGTGGCGGTCTGTAAATAATGTCATTTGGACCAGACAATCCAATGATCAACATCATGAGCATCGTTCTTCGCAACTGGGATACGATGACATGTGTGAACCAAGTCAGCGATTAACCTGTTAATCTCGTACGTCAAGCATGGGTTGGTGAAGATCAATTCTAACCTGGATCTTCACGGGTAGTAATTAAAGGTAATGTTTAAATGTTCTGTCGTCACGCTGAAAATCCGGTGTCAATTCCCCATATCTACGGGTATTCTATGTGAAGCCTATTTCTTGTATCCGTGGTGATATTGCTGGGATATCGATAGAAGCGGTGTAAAACAATACTCATTCACTCATCGGAAACTTAACATCCGTCACAATCAGTCATAAGAGCGTTGCGTCTAGAATAAGCAAAGTGTTTACTAACGTTGAATTTTTCCGGATTTGTACAGTTTCTGGGCAAGATTGTCCACCATCCTCTCCACGGCATCACGACAGGGCTCTCCTCGGCAGTCCCTCACGACGATGTAGCCCTGCGTAACACATCCTTCAACTCATATTGCATTCTTTTCGTTGAAAGCACAGGTCCAAAATGGTCAGGTTTGTAATTATCTGTAAAATATACTACCCATCAAAAGTTTAGACTCGCCCCTGTAAGTGTAGCCACTTACTTCAGTCAGCTGATCTAAACTAGATTTGGCAAAATATTCCATACTGTTTGAAGGTTCTGTTTACACATGAACTCACGTATTGTAAAACGAATTAGTAACGTTGAAAAGATTATTGTCATGAGTTCAATAAATGATGAAACTCAGTGAAAATTGGCGAATTCTTAACGAATCTTAACACCAAAACGCAGCTGTGCACATGCACGATATTTGCACATGCTTTTCAGCAATGTGATGCATGATCCTCGTACAATTCACCTGCATAAATTTTGGAGTTGGTTCCCCCAAGTTAGTGGAGAAATTCATCTTCGATGTGACCGTATATATATTCAAAACATATAGGGAGTGCTTTAAGTGAGTCTAAACCTTTGATGGGTTTTATATAACGCATAGCAAAACATTGAAAAAGATATTTAAATCACATTCTTATTTAAACCACGCTTTGACAATAGCCTATGTTACAATGATATCAGGAGGTTTCATATTCCATCTTTATAATGATTGGTTTGTTTGTTTGTTTGTTTGTTTGTTTGTTTGTTGTTTAACGCCGCACTCAGCATTGTTCAAGCTATATAAAAAATCGAGTCTCGACCAGGAAATCCAGTGATCAACAGCATGAGCATCGATTTACGCAGTTGACATACGATGACATGTGTCAGTCAAGCCAAGTTTGAAATACCGAACTATGGTATGACTGTATGAGCTGTCCTCGTGTTATACCAAAATGTCCTCGAATAGACCTACCTCTTTGAAAAACTTAACAATGTCCTCATAAGGGAGTTGTCCCTGTTTCCGCTCCTTGACAGGGGGTGGCGGGGTGTTGAAAGGCTCGGGGTAACATTTGTCTGGGAGACCCCGAGGACGGACTGTGTTAGCTGCCATGTCTACAAACGCCTGGCTCTCTGTGAAAGAAGAAGTGAACTGTTTCGTGGAGGACAGACTGAGATAAACACAAGTCAGCTAAAGGTCATGGTCACGTAAAGGTCATAGTCACGTAAAGGTCATGGCCACTGCGATTAAGTAGTTGACGGTCATGAGTTAATACGTGTCGATGCACAATACAACAGCTCAGGCAATAACTGTCGCATATGTCTGTGGATAAGGAAGTTCAACGTCTCTTTGAACAGTATATATCACTGCAACAGGAAAAAAGATCTTACACGTTTTCCAGGTTGGTGAAATCAAAGCATGCACCCCAGACTGGGCCATGAGCCAGATTGCTCTCCCGCTAATTATGCACATGGGAAGATTAGGCACACGCTAAGATGAGAAACTTGGGAAGATGAGGTAAAGGCAAAAGAATTATAAGCATAGGTATATTCTGAAAAGAAAGAATCCTCGTCCTGATGTGCATACAGACAGACAGAGTCAGACATACATGCAGACAGACAGACATGCATGCATACAAACAGACAGACAGACAGACATGCACAGACAGACAACAGACACACACACACACATATATACACACACACACGGACACACACACACGACACACATACATATATACATACATACATACATACAGACAGACAGACAGACATACATTTGTATAGCGCCAATAGCCAGCTCAGCTACTTTGTTTTTTCCCTCGATCATTGGATGTCAATATCAATGGCACAACATATTTTCAATCTCAACTTCCTGGGGACTGTGCAACTCCAGCCATTAGGCGCACCGAGTTAATGTGGCTTTCCCATCCTTACGAGGTACCCATTCACAGCTGGATGGACTGGGACACATAGCCACAGTGTACCACTGATTGTTACATGTATTGTTGTGTCTTCAGGAAGCTATAGGTCGAGTTCATTCTTAATAAGGGTTTGTTTAATGTCTACGCCTGACTCCACAGCATTCCAGCTATATGGCGGCGGTCTGTAAATAGTTCAGTCTAGACCAGATAATCCGGTGATCAACAGCATGAGCATCGATCTACGCAATTGGGGTACGATGACACGTGTCAACCAAGTCAGAGAGTCTCACCACCTGATCCTGATGGATTAATGAAGACCAGTTCTAACCCGAATCTCCGTGTGAAAGCTATATTCATCAGAACGTAATGCAAAACACAGATGAATGTTTACACATATAATTTATTCACGTACATACAACGGCAATGTCAGATAATGAGTATATTTCTGACACGATATCACAGAATTGATGAATTATACGACGCAAGATATAAATACACTATAAAACTTTGTTCACATATTAAACCCACAAAAAAACTACCATATTTACATATAAAATAAATTATCATTATGCTTTAATTACAATTTCATTATCGCAATATTTACACAATCACAATTGGTTTGCAGTGTCCTCCTGAGAAATCGGTTGTACATATGAAATTTACACCATAAATTAGTATTGGCTGCCGGTTTATACACCGAGTGTACTCATCTACGGAAACCGATTCATGTTGTTGATGGGTATCCGGTAGTATGAGATGGTAACTAGAACATACTGGGTTTCATCCGCGCTGATCGGGGTTGCGATGTCTCGTACATTTCCGTGGTGTGATGGAGCTAGCTCTATGAACTCCTACATTCCCTATCATAATCATTATGATGGTTATAGTTACTATTGTTGATCTGGTCCCTGTTGTACCCACTTCCCTACTCTGGGAAAGCCAGAATCTGCAGCTCGGAGAAGTATTTATACAATGCGGGCAAAAGAAAGTATGGATTGCACAAAAATACTTCAAAGGTTATCATGCTGGAAAAATAGACAAAACACTGCAAACTTCAGTCAGGTAATAATAATAATAATGTACTGCTGGACGGTACAGCGATGGGAGTAAACCAGGTGAAGTCCTTCACCAAGTCTGCCCAGAGTCGGTCATTTGTGGAGAAGCTTTATGAGAAGCCACTGCATCGTGTGTTGAACAGAATAGCAATCCAACCGACTCCTTCGCCTGGATGAAGTCGGCTGGTCTCAAATGTGAAACTGACGGCTTCCTTTTTGCTGCTCAGGACCAGTCACTTCCCACTCGCAATCGCCAAAATGTGATTTTGAAAGAAAATATAAACATGAAATGTCGACTTTGCAATGAATTCACAGAGACTGTCCAACCTTGTCAGTGGATGCCCTTCCTTGGCACAAACAGCATATCTTAAACGACATGATGGCATGGCTCGTTGCTTTTACTAACCGTCTCCGCCATGCCTTGTGACTTTGACTCCGAGGTCCATCCATGGTATGACCCTGAACATGTCCAGGGCGTCATGGAAAATGATGCTTTCAAACTTCTGTGGAATAGGCCCATATACAGCCTCAGAAGAATTCCAGCCAACAAACCTGATCTTGTCCTTTTTGATCAAGCCAATGATCTCTTGGTGCAGATCAGGAGAATGCCCGGGTTCTCCACCGGGAGCACAGCCCTTCTGACACTCTGGGTAATGCAGAAGGCTGCAGTGTTGGGGAGCCTTCATATTCTCCGGAAAGTTCTTGGTGGGTTCGACTAGGCAGTGTTTCCTGGGAGAAGTCCCATTAGCTGTCTGGGCTGCGTGTAGAGGGGGCAAGGGCCCTGAGCTGATGATGAGCCTTATCAGCCTGACTGTGCCAGGATCACCCGAACCCTCTCTGCTGCATACTATCTTTAATCTGTAATAATAATAATAATAATAATAATGTATCCATTTATATGCGCCTAATTCCACACCAGGTATGCTCATAGCGCTAACAATGAATAGCACAGCACATTATTACCCCGGATAACCAAGGCTGCCTGTTAGGCGCTGTAAGGTTATAGTCATATGACTTATCCCACCGGGTACCCATTTTCTGCTGGGTCAACAACACAACTAGCATCAGTATCACCAATGGAATGGACATTTCTTGTTTGTTGTATTTTTAGCCATCCCCAAGTACTTTCTTTTGCTCGACAACTTGTATGAAAACGCATTTTGAACCTGTGCTTCGAGTCTGTTGGAGACTTGATGCATAGTTTTGGACGTCTGTCGTGTTTTGTTACTGGTAAGTGAGTGAGTTTAGTTTTATGCCGCGTTTAGCAATATTCTAGCACATTTACATTAACACGTGGGCTTTACACATTGTGCCCATGTGGGGAATCGAACCCGTGTCTTCGGCGTGACGAACAAACGCCCCTACCCCTACCCCTACCCTACCGCCCCCCAAGGTATAATCTATACCCTGACAATTCACAGATCAGTATACTAAATACTCTGGACGCGCACATGTATCGTTTATCAGGTAAATAAATCTCGACAGGATCATCCACTTTGAAGTATCCAGGTCTCCGGTTAGACCGGGCGGCCATTTGTACTCAGGGGGAGATAACTCGCATGGTATGTGATGACGCTGCAAGAAAGACAAATGTCCATTGTATGGCATTATAAGGTTCCAGTCGGGTACTCGAGTTCAGATCGGGTTTAGTTTCTGTCTCGTCCTGTCCGAATCCTAGTTAATACTGTAGGTGGTTTCAGAAAGACGAATACGGTCCGAGAACGTGAGACTTCTCACGTCGTATACCCTGAATGCTGAAGCTGGGGCCGTGGGGCCGCGTGCAGGACGTCGGGGTGTACGACCCGGGGCCTGGGGTGTCTTCTGAAAGAAAGAAAAGAACTGTTGCAATACTTAGATATTTTTATGCTTTACACTATATAATCCTTCCATAAATATAATTGGCCTGTCAGTAACCCAGTATGGACCAGACAATCCAGTGATCAACAGCATGAACATAGCTGTGGGACATACATCAACCTGGTCAGCGAGCCTGACCACCCGATCCCGTTAGTCTCCTTTTACGACAAGTATGGGTTGCTGAAGACCAATTCTAACCCGGATCTTCACGGGGAGACAAGCATGGGTTGCTGAAGACCAATTCTAACCCGGATCTTCACGGGGAGACAAGCATGGGTTACTGAAGACCAATTCTAACCCGGATCTTCACGGGGAGACAAGCATGGGTTGCTGAAGACCAATTCTAACCCGGATCTTCACGGGGAGACAAGCATGGGTTGCTGAAGACCAATTCTAACCCGGATCTTCACGGGGAGACAAGCATGGGTTGCTGAAGACCAATTCTAACCCGGATCTTCACGAGGAGACAAGCATGGGTTGCTGAAGACCAATTCTAACCCGGATCTTCACGGGGAGACAAGCATGGGTTGCTGAAGACCAATTCTAACTCGGATCTTCACGGGGAGACAAGCAAAGGGTTGCTGAAGACCAATTCTAACCCGGATCTTCACGGGGAGACAAGCAAAGGGTTGCTGAAGACCAATTCTAACCCGGATCTTCACGAGGAGACAAGCATGGGTTGCTGAAGACCAGTCTTGTCATCGCTTCAAATGATTAATTAGAGCAGACAATGCACAGAAAGATGTGGACAAAATATTTGCCAGGTGTTGTTTGATACCAATCATATGAGCACGAATCGATAACAGTTTAAACTCTGAAGCTATTTGGTTATGTCCCCAGTGCTACACATTCACTGGGTTATCTCCCGTTAGTCCTAATCCTATTTATAGTGTTGTGTTTTTACATTAATCCTACCTCGTGTATATATATCAGCCACAAGTCAATACGTACATCCAGTATTCAACTGATGAAGGGGCGAGAGCTCTCCCCAAAAAGTCGTTAAAAATAACAAAGTTGTTTCCATTAAAAGTACCATGTATTCGTGCCCTTTTATATTCTACGTGTCAAAAAGACTGTAACGCTAACTTATGTAAACAATCGTCTTTGCAATTGTCAATTACCATACATTGTGACATTAAAATATCAATTACGAAGTGTATGATATATATAGAGGATACTAAACGACCTTCCGTGTAATACCATTTTATTAAACGAGTTAATGATTTGGTATCAAACGAGCGAAAGCGAGTTTGACACAAATCTTTCACGAGTTTAATAAAAATGGTATTACACGGAAGTGAGTTTAGTATTCTGATTATTACTCTCCAACATAAACTGATAGAAACTTCCTACTAACAGTGTGATGACTCTCAGTTTTCCGCGAGTCAAGCAAGGTCAAATACCATTCTGACAGAGGTATTAGCATTGTGACGTCATAATTGTAAACCATTATGACGTCATACGTCTAGCGGCATTACACTAGTGTAATATTAACGTAAAAATTTTACACTGCAGTATCTTCTACGGGAGAGTAATAACTGCTATTATTTGTAATACAATTCAGCCGGGGCTTTGTTTCCTGCCATCTAATGCTTAAACATTCACCGTTCCCTTTATTGACGAGGTCAAATTATGTTTATACCAAAATACATCTTACCCCCGGATGACCAGAGTATCGTACCCTCCCGTCTGAACTGGTGGCTATAGGCTGGGTGCCGCTTGAACAGAGCTCTGTCTGCGTGATGTGTGTCATACTCCCCTGGAGACGGGTCCTTCTCGGCCCCTGGAATGATGTATATTGTATTCGTTTTGTTAAATATAATAATAATCAAAGCCAGATACAGTCGACTTCTTTGAGTGGCATTTTAGAAGTTGGAACAAGTAAGTATATGGATAACAACTTTTTTTATTCTACAGCACGGCGTTTCGATACAGGTTCTTGTACATCCCATTGTAAATCTTGTATACATTCTATACTCTGTGTATCACTGGCTTCCACCGGCCTCTATGTTTATCCCTGTAATCCTCTGTTATCCCTTTATTTGTTATCATCACACTGTTATTCCGCCTTGCCTTGTTAATTAGTCCTGTTGTATATATATCACCTGTTCTCTCCTTGTACCATTCTTACTTAAAAACGGTACAAGAACCTGTATCGAAACGTCGTGCTGTAGAATAAAAGAAGTTGTCATCCATATACTTACTTGTTCCACCACATACAGTCGGACACCGCTGTGTCGAAGTTGGAGGGACCTACGTCAATACTTCGACTTATCCGAAGTGATAACGAAGTAAGGAATACGTAGGGACCCGGCATTTCGAGACAACCGTTCGACACAACGGAGTTGGACTGCGTACTTGAATAACTAGTTACGATTACGTAGGAACAATAAAAATAACACACTTAGAATCATAAGTTACGATTACAACTTTCTCCCTGTTATATGTAAAGGTCCAAATTACTATTTGGATCTCAAATTAAATTCTGATATGTTCCGAATGGCATGAGGTAATTGTAAACATAAAACCTTTGATGATTTTTTATCATTAGTTGAAAATCATTCACTGTGTTCTTCATCTGATTAAAAGAGCTAATCAAGTTGTCTCTTTTTATTTTGTAATTATTGTTATCTGGTATTATCAGATATGAGGAGCCATACCTTGTTTCATGATGGAGAAGTCGCCTTTCCTCCCCATAGAGTATGACGGAGACTCCGGCATCGTCCTCTGTCGTGGTCCGAGGAGCGACCGTTTCTTGTACAGGTTTGGCGTCGGCCACTGTAGCATGTATAAACATTGAAAACGTTAGTTTCTGAGCGCCACTATTGATGGTCCCCTGGGTTTTTAGGGTGTTAAACAGCAACACACGCATCAGTGGGTTCGAGCCGTGAATGAATATTGCATAGCGCCGCATCACCTTACGTCTAAGTATGTTAACAATGCGAGTAACGGCAGATATTGTTCATGCCTATGTCTCACTCATTGAATGAGAGGCGCGGTGGGGTAGCCTAGTGGTTAAAGCGTTCGCTCATCACGCCGAAGACCCGGGTTCGATTCCCCACATGGGCACAACGAGTGAAGCCCATTTCTGGTGTCCCCCGCCGTGACATTGCTGGAATATTTCTAACGGCGGCGTAAAACTAAACTCACTCACACAAGAAACAAGAACGACGACTATTAAAAGTGCACGATTGAAGGCTGTATATAAACCTGCCCCAAACAAGCAAACCAGTGTTGTAGCACATGTTATATTTGGCATTGTGTATTCACAGTGTTTATGTATAAGACTACCGCTCAGATTTGATCGGCGGGGGGATAGCCTGATGGTTAAAGCGTCCGTTCGACCCGGGTTCGATTCCCAAAATGGGTACAGCCCATTTCTGGTGTCCCACCCGTGATATTGCTGGAATATTGCTATAAGCGGCATAAATCCATACGCACTCACTTAGACTCTGATAATATATAACTTTAATTGAAACAAATAACTCATTTAAATTGAAAAGCAGCCCCAGTGAGGTTAGCATTAGAGCTGTGTTAGGCGGAAGGGAAAATAGTTTGGTTCAGGGATAGTGACCAGCATAGCCCATGCACGTGAAATGCACGAGATGTAAGATCAAGTACGAGTCTACTCCAGATGCGTCTCAACCGCAGCCATTGACGTTGAAAATATGACGTTTTATCTCGTATTATCTATGTGACCTCTGAGTATAATTTAGGGATTTATTAATAACCAGGACACCCATTATGACACGTGAACCGCTGGGAAAGTAACACTGGGACTTCTGTTTATATTTACGAGTATCACTAAAGTTCATAGTAACACCACGATGGTGGGGTAGACTAATGGTTAAAGCGTTTGCTCGTCACGCCGAAGACCCGGGTTCGATTCCCCATATGGGTGCAATGTGTGAAGCCCATTTCTGGTGTCCCCCACCGTGATATTGCTGGAATATTGCTAGAAGTGGCGTAAAACCATCCCTCCCTCACTCACTCCTTGTAATACCTCAGTGTTAGCTCAGATATGCTGCCGCCGTGATGTTGCTGGAATATTGCTGAAAGCGGTGTAAAACCAAACTCAGTCAGTCAGTCAGTCAGATACGCTGACCTTCACAGTGAACGCATATCTCATAACAATGATCCAGAATTTGTCAAACGTGAAGTACATGAGTCTGGTCCCAGGGTACAGGAACAGGTCCGAGTTCGTATTAATGAGTCACTGATAAGATAAGGCCGTCCGTATATTTCTGTGTACCAAGTCCCGTCCTCAGTTTTCATTCAGACGTGAAATAATCATATGTTTTTTATTTCGATTTTAGTCCCCGGTGCTGAAGAAAAATATGCCCTGATTTAATAAAATTACCGTTACCCTAACACCCCTACTTGATTAAAGACTAACGTGATCTAATTATTTTTTTTAACCTCGTTTATTTCAGTCAATGTTATCTCTTTCGCCCACTCAATCTCTTTCTGGTTGAGGTCGGAGATGAGGAATTGACAACAAATACAAAATGTCTGATAAAGACACTGACACAATAACGTTGCCAAGCGTTGTCTAGAGGTAGTAGGTCTAAGTGGTACGAGGGCGGTGAGGTCGGAGATGAGCTGACAACAAATACTGACAAACACACTGACACAATAACGTTTGCCAAGTGTTGTCTAAAGGGTGGGGTTGAACTGGTCGGAGATGAGGAACTGACAACAAATACAAAATGTCTGACAAACACACTGACACAATAACGTTGCCAAGTGTTGTCTAAAGGTAGTAGGTCTAAGTGGACGAGGGCGGTGGGGTAGCCTAGTGGTTGAGGTCGGAGATGAGGAACTGACAACAAATACAAAATGTCTGACAAACACACTGACACAATAACGTTGCCAATGGTTGTCTAGAGGTAGTAGGTCTAAGTGGACGAGGGCGGTGGGGTAGCCTAGTGGTTAAAGCGTTTGCTCATCACGCCGAAGACTAGGGTTCGATTCCCTACATGTGTACAAATTATGAGGCCCATTTCTGGTGTCCCCCGCCATGATATTGCTGGAATATTGCTAAAAGTAGTGTAAAACTAAATTCACTCACAATTTAAAGGTAAACCTGTTAGTAACCATTGTGTTATGCTCTGTTGTATGACGTTTTCTACATAAAAATATACATGCTAATAATCATCATATCATTTATCTCCATGTTGATCTGCTCTTGTTTTCTTGAGTTAACATATCCATATTGATTTTTAACCATTATTATGTCACTGACAAATTTAGTGACGATACATAATAAGACGGCAGTCCTAAGAATCTAACGGCTTATTTGTATCGCCTCCCAGATTAAACTAACCTTTGCTGGTGGTGTGAAACAAATCTTAATATACGCAATTACACCCGTTAGGGTAGAAACGCCATTGTAGTGTATAAACATGGACGAAGACTGGTTCGTTAATCAGGAAACTCCTTAATCCAGAAACCCTGCAATGTGTACATATGTTAATGCGGACATCCGTCAAACTAGATATTTTAATCCGGACGTTTTATCCATACATTTGTGTATCTACCAATTTGTGTATCTAGACATTCGTTAATCTTGGCATTTGTTAATCTCGACAGCTATTAATCCAGTAGATTTCTGTACTCACCGTCCCGTCACTGACGAAGTCCACCTTGGTGTGCCATACATGGGGCGTCTGAAACCACGTCTTCGCCCACGACGTTCTCGATCCCCCTTCTGTAACGAAACGAAATGACCTCCCTTGTAGAGTTTTCTTATACTGGCTTCCTCGGAGACAACACATGCCAGTAGGAGAACTTCATGGATGTCAATACTTTATTGTGAGAAACACATGGCAGATCAAATTATATCCCCTTCAGAAAATTATGAGAATATTACCTATTACCTATTGACTAATTGGCATTTGTGTACATTTGAGGTTTTAAAGGTATAAAGCTGACACAAGTATTTATATGTTATATATTTAAGTATTTATTTGAGTTTTTCACACAGTATCAGGAAATATATTCCAAACATTGGGTTTGGATGTGATTCAGTACACGGACCAAAATGTTCCACAGCTGTGGCGGCATATAAAATAATAATAGTGTAAATGTTGTCATTTGTCAACCGTGACACCCGCGAAGATCTTTGAATTGATCTTTCAGTAACTCATACTTGTCGTAAGAGGCGACTAACTGGGATCGGGTGGTCAGATTCGCAGACTTGGTTGACATATATCATCATATCCCAATTGAGTAGATCGATGCTCATGCTGTTGATCACTGGATTGTCTGGTCCAGGCTCGTTTATTTACATACACCCGCCATATAGCTGGAATATTGCCGAGTGCAGAGTAAAACTCAACTCACTCACTCACTCACATCTACAGATTTTCTAAAAACAAATCTCTTGACCAAATTACAATTTCGGACAAAACTCACAATTCTTCCAGTTCCCGATATCACAAGTGAGGATTTAAACATTTCATGGAGAACATTTACTTCAATTCTGCCTGTCGAGTCTGTTACTGTCGGTAATGAGAATAATGTTAGACTGACTGACTGACTGAGTTTGGTTTTACGCCGCTTTTAGCAATATTCCAGCAACATCACGGCGGGGAATACCAGAAATGGGCTTCACACATTGTACCCATGTGGGGATTCGAACCCGGGTCTTCGGCGTGACGAGCCAACGCTTTAACCACTAGGCTACCCCACCGCCCGAATAATGTTAGAAACAGAAGCGAAGGGTAACACATCTCAGTTTACCAAAACCCACCGTGTTTGATTTCCAGCATGGGTACAATGTGTAAACTCCATAGTGTCCACCGCCGTGATATTGATCACTTGATTGTCTGGTCCAAGATCGATTATTTACAGACCGTCGCCATATAGCTGGAATATTGCTGAGTGCGGCGTAAAACAACAAACACACAACAAATCGTGATCAAACATGGTTGTACCTCTCTCCGGGGAACACCGGGCTCCAAACGTCCAGGCTGGGGCGTTTGTTTCATTCAGTGGCTTGTTCCGTGGGGAGTAGGTCCAGGGGAGGGACCCTCCATGTCCACTTTTAGGGGGGGACGGGAGTTGTTAGCTTCTTCCCATGTTATCACCTTTGTTGGACGGCGAGGTTCCTCATAATACAAACTCGGCGATGCGCTGACTGTTTTGGCTCTGAAAAAAATATTCAAATATATAACATGTTGTCTCTTCTCAAAAACATCATGGAATTACCATTGACTTTAACTATCATGTAAATCACCACCTTATGGGCCACGGCTTTGCCCTCAGTGTTAGTTCAAGAGGCGGCAACATGACGGAATTGCTTATGTAGCTAGCTTATACCTGTTTTAAACTCTGCACAAGATATTATGCCGGACCCGCAATTGAAATTCCTCAGCCAACTGTTCCGGAAGCCAATTACGATCGCGTTGTAGCGATATCAGCGTTATTAATGACGGGGTTGACGCAGCGAGTTTGTTCAAGAAAATACAACATTTGTAAAGGTTGTGTTCGTTTTAAGATCTACTGTCGATTTATCAAGATGAAGAGATACACGTATGTAGTTTATCTTATTACCGTTGAAGAAAGGGAAAACATGCAACAATCAAATTCATTTATCTCGAGGAACTACGGATCAAAACGTGTTGGGTTTTGTATGTATGGAGAGGTAAGTAGAGTGACCGTAAACCCGTTCCGTCCTACACCCATCCTCCACCCCCCAACCCTTCAACTGTCATACTCAATGTATTATAACGGTGTGCAGTTGAATCCATCCATGAGGGTACTAACCTGGTAATAATGCACATATTTCATTAAAGGACCACCGATGACCCGCGTGGGCTATTTACCTTAATTATATGATATTAACATTTTGTTGATTCTCAGGGATCCAAGTTTGCTGTTTACGACAACTGGAATTTGTCTCGGGAGACAATCGAGACTGAATGTTTTCTGGCGTGTTGTATGCAGATAACTGTATTAATGTGTGACGAATGTTAATGGAGTGGTTGTAGAATCTACGGAAGCCTTTCAGGGTCATGTGGGTTTTTTAGATTTTTTTTCTGGACTTTCAAGATACAAAGTTAAAATTTCAATATGTTAATTTGCTATTTATGGAATGTTCGAATATCTTTTGAAAGAAATAAAGAATTCATTCATTCATTAATTCATTAAGATGAAAAGTTGAAATTTCAAAAAAATTATCTTGTTATTTCAAAATAAGAAGTTGAAATTTCACGATCGCTAACTTGAAATATCAGCTTAGTGTGTATGTTGATATTTCAATAAAGATTTTTTAAAACGAATGGCACTAAAAGGTTTCCGTATGAATGTGTTCTGAATGAGACGATAGTCATACATAATAGAAGACAATAAGAAATCCTTTATACAGCCTTACTCACTTTGGTGCCATGGTAACAGTGGCAAGCCGTATAAATCGAGGCGGTACTCGACTCCGTATCACCTGCTTGTGTTCGAATCCTCTCGGCGCGTTTGGAGCTTGTAGGCTCTGAATGTGCGCATGCGCTGACCGTATCAATGGCAGACGACTCGGAGGTACTGTTGACATGGTTGGGTAGCTAGCAGACGTAGGTGTCTTTCTTCTGTACGGTGTACCATCTACTTGACTTTCATCGTGTCTTCTTTCATCAGGTGCCCTTTGTGCAGAGTCACCAGCCACCATTGTCCTCGAGTCATTAGACATAGGCATACTTTCTTTAGCTCCCCCTGAGCGATTCGACACAGGGATGCTTTCAGAACTGTTTTTTGTATGTTCCTGAGAAGAGTCATTTAGTGTAGGCAGATTGTTCTCCAGAACAGCGCCAGTGTCTTCCACAGCTGGTACAACAACAGGAGACATCCCCTTCGAGTCACCAGAATCAGATGTGTCATCACTGATTACATTTGATTTGTCACCCTCAAGAGCACCTGCTGTGTCCATTACAGTACCTTCCCTGGTTCCTTGGTCGGCAATACCTTGACCTTTAGTCCCATCCTCACCAAACACTGGCTTGCTGGGAGCGTTCTCCACAGCAGACTGATCGACACTGTCCTGATGAGGTTGCTCGGAGGTGCCCAATGTCACCTCGACTACATACTGTCCAGTGTTCCTTGTGGTGTCATCGTGGGCTGTCCCTGCACCGTTCGGTACATCACCAGTGACGGCTTCTTCTGTGGTCATCGACGACATCCTGCCCCTTCTCCTCAGATGACGCCTCACGGTGATGTCAGTGACAGTTTACCTGATAAAACAAACATTAATGCTCAGTAAAGTCTTCAAGGTTGTATTGTTGAAGGTTTTGTTTTTAGTTTTGTAATCTGGTTTAAATTCTTTGGTTCAAGATTTTGCAATTTGTGAAGGGTCATCCGTGATACTGCTAAAATAACGCTAGTGATGTGAAGCCACCCTCGCCCTCCTTGCAACCTTTCACCTATCCATCACTCGCAGCTGCCATTTTGACCAACAGATACGCTTTCAAGGCAAAGCGCGACGGAGGTCTCTCCTAGCGTGAATTTATCCCAGGGTACTGGGCGTGACGAAGGTCTCTCCGTCAATTCATCCCAGGGTACTGGGCGTGGCGGAGGTCTCTCCTACCGTCAATCCATCCCCGGGTATTGGGCGTGAAGGAGGTCTCTCCTACCGTCAATTTATCCCAGGGTATTGGGCGTGACGGAGGTCTCTCCGTGAATTCATCCCAGGGTATTGGGCGTGATGGAGGTCTCTCCGTGAATTCATCCCAGGGTATTGGGCGTGACGGAGGTCTCTCCGTCAATTCATCCCAGGGTATTGGGCGTGATGGAGGTCTCTCCGTGAATTCATCCCAGGGTATTGGGCGTGACGGAGGTCCCTCCGTGAACTCATCCCAGGGTATTGGGCGTGACGGAGGTCTCTCCGTGAATTCATCCCATGGATTGGGCGTGATGGAGCTTGTGAACTATGGTAGCCAGGTTACCAGCTGAAGTCACCAGGGCCCCGCTTCCAGAAGCCACTTTCGCCTTCCGTCTGTCTTACAACATACTGAATGATAGGGGTTACGAATGACGCACATTTTATTGTCAAAACACAAGTTTATCGGACACAAGGTGTGGAGCAGTTGCACATTGAATCACGACTGAATGATTCAGAAGAGGCCGTTCAAGAGGGGAAACAAAAGAGTATAGAAAAGAACACCAAGGCTGAAGATGGCATTATATATATAATATATATAAGGATATATGTGATAAATCGATATATAACTATAAATTGATATAAAAAATATATGTGATATATTACAATATAACTATATACTTGGTCAAATACTGAGCAATAATTTATAACACTTTTTCCTTCAAATTAACTGCTTATTAAGTTAAACCAATCAATGTACTGACTTCGTGTGATACAATTTGAACATTCATGACATGTGATCGTTCCAAGGGGGTGATTGCAAGAACAGGTACTGCTGTACCACATCGGAAAGGAAATCGTAGCGATTTAATCCGATGTGCCATGTATCATAGCTTGTCAAGCAGAATGTACCGTGGAGTGGAACAATTACCAAATGTTGCATTATATCTGCAATAAGAAGACTCTATGTTTGAACATAAGAAACCTTATAGAAAGTATGTGTGTGGCAAGGGTTAGGGTTAGATTTCAACAAAGGGCTCACTGCTTGTAGTGCTAAGATCACTTAGTCGAAAGGGGCCCAAGACACCGGGTGTCTATCGGTCTGGTATACATAGACCTACATCCTGTTTTCAAGGTCAGTTCACTGTGAACGATGCTGTGATCGTGATAAAGGTTAAGGAAGCTCATGTTGGTTTTAAAATACTTCAGCTACACAAATAGCTTAAAAGGTAAACTAGCCACACAATTGGGAAATTAGGTAAAACGTTGTTATCTTTATACGGATCGGTGTTGTGGCTAGAGTCTAAAGTAAAAATCTTTCAGCTGAAAGATCAAGTTCCAATATGGACTCTTCCGAATGTTTACCGAGATGACCTGATACGATTGAGATGTTCCGATTGATTATTTCAGCAATCCACCCAACTGTGCTATTTAATTCAGTCAAATATAATACCCATCTTAAATAACACAACTTATCAGGCATAGAAAGGTCATTGACGGAGACACCACAGCGTGAAGGGAGTTAGCATACACGCGCTTAGCACAGCCTTTGTGTTGTCGTTCAGAGAGGTGGATGAACTTAGCATATTATTCTGTGTTATTGACAGTGACACTGACGTTTATTCAAAGGAGATCATCGAGGCACCATTCAGACACACACCATTGGGGATTACATTTAATCCTGCATTTATAACCTAGGTTTATATTATTCACATAACGCGATTGAGCAGGTGTTTTTCTTTTGAACCAAGTTGGTCTGGGCTTGGTCAGATGTTAACCAGTTATACCTGTTACTAGAAAATACGTATGGTATGTATGTATGTGTGTGTGTGTGTGTGTGTGTGTATGTATGTGTGTGTATGTATGTGTATGTGTGTATATGTATGTATGTGTGCGTATGTATGTGTATGTGTGTATGTATATGTGTATATGTGTGTGTATGTATGTGTGTGTATGTGTGTGTATGTCTGTATGTGTGTATGTCGGTATGTATATATGTGTATGTGTATGTATGTGTGTGTGTATGTATGTATGTATGTATGTAGGTAGGTAGGTAGGTAGGTAGGTACGTACGTACGTATGTATGTGCGTATGTGTGTGCATATGTAGATATGTGCGTATGTAACTATGTGCGTATGTAACTATGTGCGTATGTAGGCATGTGCGTATGTAACTATGTACGTATGTATGTGCGTGTGTACCTGTGTAAGTGTGAATAGACATAGAGTGTGCGGGTTCATATGCGTGCGTGCGTGCGTGCGTGCGTGCGCGTGATCCAGCCTGACGATCTGATCCGTCTAGTCGCACGTAGGTTGGTGGTTACCAGCTCACAATGATTCCGATGCAGGTGTTGTATGGCAGTCCTACGTGAGACTGGTAAATCATTTTCGGGTGGACTTCACACAACATACCAGGTGGTGAGGGGAGGTAGGCCAGTGGTTAAAGCGTTCACTCGCCTCATCGACGACCCGGGTTCGATTTCCCGCATGACTATGTTTCTTTGAAGCCCATTTCTGGTGCCCATGTCTTGATGTTGCTGGAATACTGCTAAAAGCGGTGTAAATCCTCACTCACTCACCAGAAATGGGCTTCACGCATTGTATCCAAGTGGGGAAGCGAACTCGGGTCTTCAGCGTGACGAGCGGATGCTTTAACCACAAGGCTACCCCACCGCCCCTGTTAAACATACACTGATTACTACTGAACAGACAAGGATTATTGTTGAACAAATTATGATTACTATTTAACCGATAATGATCATTATTGGACATACCCAAGATTACTATTGGAAACATAATGATCTCTATTTAACAGATGATGACTATTGTTTGAGGATCACTCTAATTCCACGATCGAAAGATTCATTTGGACGCACGTCTTTCATTAGGCGTGTAACCTCATCTGGAAAATGATAAATCCGACAAGCCATACTCTGCTGAAATAGTACTTCCAATTAATAAGAAAAGGGTCAAATGAAATGTACATCTCGTCACCCAAGAATACGTTACATCTGTAACCAAAATGCTGTTGAGAAAACGTATAATATTTTGTATAAATATCCTGCGTATGGTCATGATGTCAGAAGCCCTTCGTCTTGAAGGGACTATGCAATACATTGTTTTTATTTGATGTTGAGAGTATTCCTGCTAGTCACAGAACCTATATAAAAACACAGCACCTGTGCGTTCACATTAAGATACGAGTGAGTGAGTATGGTTTTACGCCGCTTTTAGCAATATTCCAGCAATATCACGGAGGGGGACACCAGAAAAGGCTTCACACATTGTACCCATGTGGGGAATCGAACCCGGGTCTTCGGCGTGACGAGCGAACGCTTTAACCACTGAGCTACCCCACCGCCCCTATTAAGATACGAAGTAGCATGTACGTGTCACAACAGTGAGTGAGTGAGTGAGTGAGTGAGAGTGAGCGGAATATGTCAGCCATATTGATGTGGAAACAATTCATACAATAACAGAATGCATTTAGACTATAATCACCCGTCGACAATTGACAGTAAGACATTTAGAGTATCGTAGATAACTAGCATGTTATCATAAAAAGATATCCCAAAACAGAGCGGTACGATATACAAATTGGCTCTAGAGGTAGACAAACATTCAGATAAAACAAAAATCTTTTTTTTTTCTCTGCTACATGTTTACAAATATCAGACAAACAAAAACTGCTTACGACAGCAAACTAAATCCCTTCGAAGTGTTTTGAGAGCTATTCTACAGACCGAAACATGTGGAAGTACCATATTCTGGTGAACGCTTCACCAGACCTGTGAAGAATTAGGGTTACAATTGATTTCCAGCAAGCCATGATTGTCGAAAGAGGCGTCTAGCGGGATCGGGTGGTCAGGCTGTTGACTTGGTTGACACATGTTACCGTATTCCAGTTGTTCAGATCGATGCTCATGCAGTTGATCACATGATTGTTTGGCACAGACTCGATTATTTGCAGACCGCAGCTATACAGGAATATGCTGGAATATTGCTGAGTACGGCGTAAAACTAAACTCACTCACTGTTACACCAGTACAGCTGATATATATGTGAGATATAGTGGAGTGACTGAGGACATAGTTTGAGTAACTGGGTATATTTGTTCTCTGACCTAAATGGCGGGACGAAACTATTAACTAAAAAATACATTACCCGTTTGGCAATAACACCCCACTTTACATTATAAACAGACCTAGTGCTCCCGTGCATAAACTGTTGATATAGGAAGTTAGGCGTCCACAATCGATACGGTCTGCTCGAGACAGTGGAAAATGACAGGCCGCAGTCTTCTCGGAAGGGGTGATTACACGCGTTCGAACACATATTGAGTCTAGACATTCGATCTATCGATTACATTGGTTATGGTGACGGGACATATATGTCTTCATATGACCGCATTGAATCAGGCCTATACGTGTATATGATATTGCGGGTGTGTATAACACAGTTAGAACCGGTTTGTCGACAATGTCAACCACTTAGAGTTATATCAAGAATTGCTCCAACTTATGATGTAGATATAACGACTGAATATATTAGATGTGCTGGGAGAGGGAAATGCATGCAAAAAACAAATAGATTTAAGTGGACGGATGGTTAGAACAAAGAAGGAAATATATTCAATTGGACAAATATATATTGATAGAAAATATAATTCGGTGACATGTTACAGGATAATGACAGTGGGGGAGAATAAAGGACGGGGAGGGAGGGAGAGAGGGGAGAGAGGGAGGGAGACAGGGGAGAGAGGGGGAGAGAGAACGACAAAGTAAGGAGAATACATATACTACGTGAAATAGACTCCAGGTATTGCAGATAGATAGATAGATAGATAGATAGGTAGAAAGATAGATAGACAGATAGATAGAAAGATTGATAGATAGATAGATAGATAGATAGATAAATAGATAGATAGATAGATAGGTAGATAGATAGATAGATAGATTCACCAAGGACAAGGAAATTATATTTCAAACATGTGTATCACCTTGTTTCCCGTGCCATACACGATATGTACACCGACTACTATTTTAAATACAAGCAAAGTTGATATACTCACTTAAACTGTAATATTTATATACCATGTTCACTAAAGCATCTCAAACCAAATTCACGTGAATTATAACACCTACCTTGCATTGTAAATAAACATTTGAACAAATACGATTTATGATCACCTGCAACTCGGATCCGCCTGTGTATAAACACTTCATAAACCTGGTGTTTGTTTCCGCTATGTATATCGACTGTCACTCACTCCAGGACCGCCGCCATTTTGTTACTAACGACGCCACGTGTTGTCAGGGTCCTCGCCTTATCACGGTTGAATCAGCGATTAGACGGCGCTCGGTCCTTGATAAGCCCCCTTGTTCTGACCTCTGACCCTCATGGGTAACGAGATCGGTTATTGAAACTCTAATCTGTACATGAGCGTGATCAAGCGGATTTAAACTCCATTCAGATAGATTTCAAATAAGTCATGTTTTTTCGGATAGTAACGGGAAAAACTTCGGAAATGGATCTTGGTCCAATACAAAATCATATCCAAGTTATGAAACTTATCATGTTTTTTAATTTACTTATTCTGAAATCCAGAACGACTTTATTAAAGCCAATACCTTAAGAAATTATCATTTGTTGAAAGAGAGATTCTGAGATTCTGTCTAAAATTGCAAAAGTGTTTTTAACATGTTGATGCCTCTGTTTCATATCTTTTGTTTTGGAATATTCCAGCAAGTTAACACCAAGGGAACAACAATAAGCTTCGTTATTTAACCCATGTGGATTTAACCCTGGCCTTGTGTGTCACGAGCGACAGCTTCAACCACTAGCATATAGCGTCCTCCTGATTGGTGAGTGAGTGAGTGAGTGTAGGTTTACACCGCTTCCAGCAATATTTCAGCAACATCACGGCGGGGGACACCAGAAATGGACTTCACACATTGTAGCCCGGCGAGCGAACGCTTTAACCACTAGGCTAACAGATCGCCCTCCTCCTAATAACTCTCAATTAGCAGGTTGTTATTCTGATGGACGAGGCTCACGTGGGCGATGACTCTTTTTTCAGTGAAAAATAATGTGAATAATAATGCAAAAATTCAAGAATCTCATTGCTCAGCCGTAATATTTCTAGACAGTGTGATTTTGTGATATTGCCAAGTTATGTAAGCTTAATGTAGTTGACTTATTGGAATAAACAAGATTGTTTATTTTGTTCATAATGTTTGAGTGGTTGAACTTGGCAGTCCCAGATAGCACGTCTGTGGTGGCCCACCCATGGCCCACCGTAAGCTGTACTGGTGGTCCACCGGCGGCTGCCACCGGTGGGCCACTTATGGCGTGTCCAGCTGATCTTCGATGGCCCACTGGTGGTACTGGTGGCACCGGCGGCAAACCAGTGGCCCACAGGTGGCAAGCCACCACACTGTAACGTATAGAATTTGTTACTATTATCCTATTGCTGGTCTAAGGGCTAACCATGAAGATCCGGGTTAGAATTGTTTTCCAGTCATAACAGACGACTAAGGGATCGTGTGGTCATGCTCGTTGACTTGGTTGAGTCATGTCATTCATCTTATCCCAATTGCTCAACATGTCAATAATGAACAGGGTTGTCTACAGACCACAGTAATAAAGCTGGAATATTGCTGTATGTGGTCTAAACCATACAGAAACACAGTCCACCACTAGTTGTTAGTCTAGTGACCTCTAGAACCACCCAGATAGCACTGGCCCTCAGGTGGCAAGCACTTGAACCTAACGGGCAGAATTTGTAACCGTCATCATATTGCTGGTCTATAGGCTACCCGTGAATAAAAGGGTTACACTTGTTTTTCAACAAACAAGTAGTACCAGACGACTATCGGTATCGTGTGGTCAAGCTAGCTGACTTGGTTAAGTCATTCATCTTAACCCACAGTCATATAGCTGGTATATTGCTGTATGTGATGTTACAAAACAGACACAGAAACACACAGTCCACCACAAAGAACAAAATCTTGTATAGAGTTAAGAAATTATTTTATTCTTTTCATCCTTAGATATTTACACATGGATAGGGCTGCTCAATCAGAGTCTGAAGAATCCAGAAGTATTGCCCGAGCTCTGGCAATATTTTTTCTTTCTTCAGCATCCCTCTCTGAAAACAAACAAAATCAAATTACAAATGTATCTAATCTAGCTGTTATATTTTGCTAAAATGGTACAGCAGGCCAGAGTGCCTATTCTCGAAAGTGTCCCAGCTAAGGCAGATCCTAACTAGTTAGGACAGGAGTTAGGACATCCTACCGTTATGATAAGACCCATTCTCGAACCGATTCTATCCCTGTCCAAACTTGAGCTACCGATCGTAGCTAGGATAGCGAGCTCTTCAGTAGGTGAGATATAAAACCATTCATTATGTTGGGGATTCCCCTAAATATCACCCATAATTCATTCCATAAAAACACATATATTAGAGCAACTACAATCTTGTTTACAAGATAAATGGTAATACTGGAAATCAAAGTAAAAAGCTTGAAAACAGGGAAATTCAGCTTTTGGTTGACTTTAAGAAATTATAATTAATTAAAATACACATCTTGTATACAGAAAAATAGAGTAAATTAATCCTTGAAAAATTTAAAATATTTAATTTTGTAATATGTATTTGTTCGAGTTACCATACTTCCAGAAAAAAAGTATTGTTATATGTTAATGCATTCAATATTTTCTTCACATTATAGTGTTTTTGAAAATTTTGAAAATTCATTTATTTGAATAGGAGATAACACTTTTACGACAGATTTTGAAAGTCTGCCAAAACAGCAATAACATATGTGCAAAAATATTTTCATTTTATTTGATTTGTTTTTGTTGAAAATCTTGACTTGAATTCTCATTATGCGTCATCTCACAAACTGAAAATTCACCTAGGAAATAAACAGGAGTTACTTCCCCTATCAAGTTGGCCTTGACATTGACATTTCACGGCAATGTGACAGAAAGAGCAGTGTTGAGAATAAAAGGCCGAGAATAGGTAAGAACTGAACAAATCTCTTTTGTAGATCTAAAGAATATGTGCTTTGCAACAAATGTGTCTATTCAATAAAGATAAATTGATAATATAAACACAAAAACTCTTCTTAACTCATACAATCTGTGTGCTGTTGTAAATTCAAATGTAACTATGGCGACTTATTTTGTTTCACTACGTAAAAATTGGTAAACAATCAAGTACCACCCCATGTTGATTTCCACTAAGATAGACTTAGGACAAGTCAGAACCTATCCTAGTATTTGTCCTAAAATACTAATTGAACACTTCGCAAAATTACCGCCATATTCGGGGGAAAACAGCATCACTCCGATGCCCGTGCTTGTGTTTCGATAGTAATTAAGATCGGATCGTGTGTTCGTAAAAACGCAAGACATACACACACGACGCATCTTGTAAAAACTGAGAGTTAAGAACAACCTTCTTTGAAAAACAAACAAACGATATTTTAACTAAATGTTAGGCCATTGTAAGAAATCCGATATCATTCCCAAGGATGGGACAATGAATGCTAGTTGGAGATCGGTGGCTCTTGTACTTTGAAAATGGCGGTCATGAGGCAGAACTGTTCACTCTTGCATATTCTCTGTATCGAAAATCGGAATTGTTTTTTTCTTTCTTGTAAATGTATGTGTTAGAATCATTAAATATACACTCTCATATTAAGCACTGGATTTCACCGTAAATAACGTTTCTTGTTTACGAAAATAAATGTAACAAAGTTGCATAACTTTATGGAACATTGTTACAACAAACAAACCGGCGCACATGAGCGGGCCGCCAGCTATTAGCCACTGTCGGCTTGCCGAATCTGGGAGTGAGCTCTGTTTTTAAGTTTCCAGATTTCATCTTGTGGAAGTTTCCTGTTGTGATGACTGAAATTCACAGAATAGAAATAAGTCTAAAACACATTTGTAAGTTTCATACGTGATTATTATAGTTATGACATTACTTCACGGTCCAATTCATTCAAAATCATTAAACAAGACAATCGGATTCATCAGTTAGTAGTTACTGCAGCACGGTATACCGTGGCAAATACCGTGATACTTGAACACAAACATTGGTATACCGTGGTACTGAAATTTTCGTTGTACCCAACCCTACTTTCTTGTTATCTGGTACTGGCATATCCAACACTGCTTTCACTTTCTCCTCACACAGTTTCAGTCCTTGGGATCCAAACTTGTGACCAACATATGTGACCTCCTTCAGTCTGAATTTACATTTCTCCTTGTTCAGTTTCAAGTTTACTGCTATATCTCTGCCCCATATAAGTAGGTCATCTGCAAAAAACCCACATCCTTCAATATCTTCAAAAACCTGGGTCAGAGTTCTCTGAAAGATTTCTGGTGCAGAGCTTATCCCAAAAGGTAATCGTTCAAACTTGAATCTTCCAAGGGGTGTATTAAATGTAGTGAGCCATGTACTCTCCTCATCTAATTCAATCTGGTAGAACCCTGATGCAGTGTCTAATTTGCTGAAGACAGTTGCCTCCTTAATGTTGCTGCCACTTCCTCCACTGTCTTTAGAGGATAGTGTTCCCTGAGAACAGCATTGTTAAGACTGTGTGGGTCCAGACATACTCTGTCTTGTTTGGCTTCTACAACAACCATTGGACTGACCCACTTAGTTGGAGTCTCAACCTTTGTTATGACACCAGCATTGTCCATCCTCTGTAGCTCCGTCTTGACCTTGTCCATGAGAGCAAATGGAATCTTGTGTGGCGCATGTATTACTGGCTTAACATCTGGAACAACTTTGATGTGATGACGAACTCCATCAATCTTGCCCAGTCCCTTTAATACCTACTTATATTTAGCCTCTGTGTCTGCTGTACTACTTGGCCCATCCTTCTCTGTTGATAGCATGAACATAGGTTTGATCAGCTTCATTTCCATACATGTTTCTAGTCCAATGGGTACCACATCCTGGTCCACTATGATGAACTTCAGAGTATATAGGTGAGTGTCATGTTCCACTAGCAGCAAAGATTTACCCAGAATTTCCAGATTATGTCCAAAATATGATACGAGTTTCGTCTTAGACTTGGTGAGCATCTTTCCTCCTAGAGACTTGTACAGCTCCTTGGACATCACATTACCCTGAGCTCCTGTATCCAGTTTCAGCTTCACTGGTGTGTCATTGATTAGGA